AGGGAGGGAGGGAGGGAGGGAGGGAGGGAGGGAGGGAGAAAGAAAAGGAAGGAAGGAAGGAAGGAAGGAAACACCAGGAGACAGCAAGTTGCTAGTGGCTCATGCCTATAATTCTAGGTACTCAGGAGGCTGAGATGAGGATCACCAATCATTTGAATCCAGCCTGGGCAGATAAATACAATAGACTCTTTCCAATTAACCAGCAAAAAGCTGGAGGTGTGGCTCAGGTGGTACAGTATCAGCCTTGAGCATAAAAGCCAGGTAGAAGTGTGATTCCCTGAATTCAAACCCCAGGACTGGCACGCACAAGGACACACACACACACACACACACGTACATAAATGACCATTATGTAAGCATGCAGAGATTCTCAGTAATGCCAAGACTGGAAGGTCTTGAGCTGAAGACATGTCTCAAGTGGCAGAGCCTGTCTAGCAAGTTGAGGCCAAGTTTAACCTCTAATTCTGCTAAATAAATAATGGTCAAAAGGCCTCTAAATGGCAGCCTATTTGCAGCCTTTCCCTTTCCACTGGTAAAAATCCTCCAGTAGTGATGGCCCCACATACCTTTCTCTTTGCTATTTCATCTGTCACTTGCCATCCTTTTTCCTGGTTTACTCCTTTTTAATATCCTGAATGCTTCTCCTGATAACTGTCCTGAAATCTTCTAGATGATGTATGGGCTTTTTGGAGGCAAAGACCTTGCCTTATTCATCTCTATTTGTAGACGTCTGCTACAGAGAAAAGTACAGGATATACGCCTGCAGAATGAAAAGGACATTTCTGCCTAGACATACACCATTTTCATGCAACTTCGTTCTTAGATGTGTGGTGTGTGTATGTCCAAATTTTACACCTTAATCTAGGTGCAGAAACAATCCAGACTGGGCTCCAGTGATTGAAGGGTAAAGCCCTTACTATAGTTACTCTTTGAGGTGGTCGGGATCCTTTATATTACCTTTGTCACTAGAGTGAATACTAGGAAGTCAGAGATAGGCAGCTTTCTTCCAGTGATGCAGTTCATGGTTGGACTGGGTCAGGAAATACTTGAGGCATATCACAGTGTCTCAGTAAGCATGAGTGAGCCAGCTTGTTTCCTATCACCTAATTCACATACAGTATCAAGGAGGAGGAATCAAGTCACACTGGAAAGACCTGTTTGGCTTCCGCACACTCGCACACACCCTCTTGTATGTGTGGTGTGTAGTATCATCTTAGTGAAACAGAAAAAACTTATAGGTTAGGAAAATGAGAGCCATTTAGGTTAGCTCCAATTTCAGGCTATAAATAGACTTTAAAAAGTCAGGAAGTACAATTAAATCAATAAATAGGTAGTTTATTAATCATATTAATGACAATGATGGGTCAAATAATCAGGAATTCAGCCAATCTGGTAAGTATGGATGAAAATGAGTCCTTTTCCCCTCTCCCTCCACATGTTTTTATATCTAAACTATGGGAGTGATTCATACACACACCCATTATGAATCAGTATGGAAAATAATTCCAAGACCTTTGCTAATAATGAAGTGTAAGTTAAGCTCATTAAATCTTAGTGGTTATTATGTCAGCAGACCACAGTAAGCAAAGAATGGCTGGTTCAACTTTTTGCATCTGAAATCAAAGTTCAAGAAAACCAGCTATGATTTCAGCTTAAAAAAAAAGCAGTGAAGAAATCTGGCTGACACTCACATAAACCTGGATATACATGAGCCTGAAGGCCCTGTCCCTATCTTTTCTTCCACTGTCCATGGAAAAATCAGCCATGCAACAGAGACAAAAAGAATCATTATGGGATACAAGGGGAGGGCATAAGGCTAGGGAACCTTTTAGGCTTCCTGAAATCATGGGGAAAAGGAAATTAAAGAGAAAACAGAAAATGAAGTCAGAATCTGCAGGTCATCATGGCTTAACTCATTTTCAAAACCCAGTAGGAAAATAGACCTATGGCAAGCTGCAGATACTTCTGCTACTCAAATCAATACATACAGGTTTTTTCAGGAGACCTGAAATCAAATTACCACACTTACCCAGATAAGCCAACAGGTTTCCACCCCTCTGCTCCCTCTTGAAGCGGTACTCCAGTCAAGAGCATGTACTACACAATTTACAGGTTTTGTTCTTAAAAGCAAGGTTTAATTCAACTGCATGGCATCCAGAAAAAAAGAAATGTACCAAAGAATCCAACCTGAGACTAGATTATACATTTTAGAGAAGGGGGAAAAAATCAGTGCTATGTGGGAGAGGGAGCACTGAATCAGAATATAACTCCAAAATAAATCACAATAAATTATTTTAAAAAAGAAATGGATCCACATGCAGATGGATGGTCTCTCTCTCTCTCTCTCTCTCTCACACACACACACACACACATACACACACACACACACGTGCACATGCCCACACATTCTAGTCTTTTATTCAGTGTTGACTATTATGTCCATGCTGGTCACTGTTGGAAAGGACAAAGGTTAGACATATGAAGGGTATATGCCCCTTTGCCACCAGTGGAATTAAGGAAGGAACCCACTAAGCTGTCAGAAACAAGAGTAGAAAGAAGGAAACAGCTGTTGTCAAGGAAGATTTTAATAACTTTAAAGAGGGAAAAGGAAGAAAGCACAGAAATCTAACACAAGTAAAGGCACAATGACGTGGAGCTGAATGGAACCAAACCTTTCCTTCAATTAAAGTTAGCTCTTTGTTTTTCTTTTTGCATGTGATTTTGAAAGTGGTTACAGTTTTATTTTGTACTTAAGAGATGAGTCTTGAAGGCAGAGTTACAATGCCCCTCTCTCTTCTCTTTCCTCCCATTCCCTAAACTAGGGCAGCTTAACAGAAAGCCACCTTGACCACGTAGCCAGGGACTGAGATTCAAAAGGAAAATCAAGACTTCAACTGGCATGTGAAGAATCTGATTTGCAGCTGATTGTAGGTGGGATTTCCAGAAGGACGGACAGCTCAGTGTGGTGCCATCAAAGGGCCTTTGATGCCCAATACTCCACCCAGAGTTTCACAGAAGGGAAGGACCCTGGAGTCATGCTTCTTCCCCACTCTCATAAGCACTCAGCCTACAGATTATTTCAAGTGATCAGGAGAATTAAAACATACCCCAACCCTGAGTTGCTCTGTAGCAAGTCTATTTACAATTTTTTTTTCCTCATCTCTCTCCCTGGAGGTAAATCTGGGTTTTGAGCTGGGAAGCTAAGTGTGAGGGCATTTCCCCAGTGCAATGGCCAGTGACTACTCTCCTTACTCTCCTTGCCTTTGCCAGGTTTATAAGTCCATAATAAACTCCTGGACCCAGAATGCTTGTCATCAGCTGGGATAACCATAGGCTAACTTACTCTGTTGGCCTAGGCTATGAAAATGCTGGACTTTTACAGCTGGAGCAAATCCCCAGGAGAAAAACACACCTGGAATATCAAAGTGCTTTGGTCCAGGTTAAGTGACCAGAGAAGGAGAATGAGGCATCTAGATTATTTAAAACCTTAGAGGCACTGTCCTACTTCCAGACAGAGCAGTAAGAAACAACTACTAAGTTTTTTTCTCACTAGAGAAAAATATCATAAACACAAACCCACACAAGAGCTGTTGTTAGTACAGCTTCTTGATATTTAGCTGGGTGATGTCTCTTTTGTCTGGGAGTGGACAAGGGAGTTAAGAGGACTGGGTAACAGCCTCAACATGAGACCACCCGATCTTCCACTGAAGGGACAACACTCCTGCAAGCAGAGAAAAAGCAGTTTAAAAGGTGAGACGTTTAAGTGCTCTTGCAGCCAGCCCACCTTAAACCTACATTACAAGCTTTGTAAAACATACAAAATAGACCAAGAACTATGAGTATCATATTCCCACCTTCAATAGCAAATATACATGGCAATAAATCTGTTATTCAGAGGGACCCAATAATGGATAAGGCAAAAGAGATTTCAGTAGGTGTTGTGTCATCAACATGCTCTGAAGGAGAAAAGTCATTTGATTATATCTAGACCCAGGCCTTTTTTGTTGTTGGTTTTTGTTTTTTGTTTTTTTTTCCAATCCCCCATTTTTTTCATGAGGCAGAGACAATGCAAATACAACCAGTACCCATGTGACACAGTCCAAATGCTGGGGAATGGGAGGGGCAGCAGCAGGTCATGGGGAGGAAGATTCAGCCCCAATGAAAAGCTGGGGTTTGGCTTTATTTGTGATACACATCTTGATGCTCTATATTTGAGTAAAGGATTAAAAAAAAATACACTTTGAGAACATTGTACAAAAGGCATCAACTCCCATTTCAAAAACAAATGGGAAGACTTCACAGTCAAAGTTCAGAAATGCGTTAGCATCTACCCTGGAATTCTGCTGCAGTATCAACTCTTGTACTCCCCTCTCATCTCTACTCACGGCAGGATTCTGGGGATACTTCTGGGAGGTAACTGCTAACAGATTTGGAAAAAAAAAAGAATAAATAATGAATGATTAGAAAAAGGTTGGTGACAGATATAACTGTAGTCTGTCACAAGAGTCCATGTGATCCAGGAGATGGAAAAAGATAACAGACTCTGAATAACTTGAGTCCTCCCTCACCTAGCACTAGGAAGATTTGGACTTTTACCAGGAATCAGGACAGATCCTTAGCCTGTGATCCAATAGATTATAAGGATCCCTAAGGCAAGTTAAGCTTGTGATGGGTCTGGTTAAAGTTCTTAACTGGAATGCCCTACACATTTCAAGCTCGGTCTCCCTGCTCCCTGCTGCCTAAAGCAGCCTGGGCATGTGGCAATGGCTATATCAAACTCATTTAGTTTGTGGTGTCCAGGAGCCCCATCCTTCTACTGGAGAAAGGACAGTCATTGTCTCATTATCCAACTTCAGACATACCACCTATGTTCCCTGTGCTCTTTAACTAGGGCCTGGAAGACAAGGAAACAACATAATGCCGGCTGCCAACAGAAGACCTACCTTAAGGAGGCAAACTTCACTGACATCTTTGTGCTTCTTGGCCTACAGGAATACTGAATTATCCCTCCCAGCTTCTCCTGGCTCCTCAACCTGTCCTAATTTGTCATTATCCCCTGCACTCTAGGCAAGTGAGAATAAAGGAAGGAAGAGCCTGCTCAGTCAGGCCGACTGTCAACTTTTCTTTATAAGCAGGCTGTCAAGTCCTTTGTATTCTACCCAGAGCCAGATTCTCCCATGAAAGAAAGGTATCTCCTCCTTGCCTTTTTAATCATTCTGAGCTGACTGACTCAAAACCAATGATCACTTCAAGGTCAGTCAGAAAAACTGAGGCAGACTTGAGGTTGAGGTTAAGACCCAGGCAATATCTCCCTATCTCCCACCAGAAGTGTTTGGAATTTGTGGATAATAACTGAATAATGCCCCTGGCAAAAGTGACTTTCCTCTTGGCAGGATGAGGACAGGGAGGGTCGGGGGAACATCCTTCAACCTAGTACCCTGAGGAAAGGGGGCAGGGAGTCCCAGAGGACTTGAATGGCTCCTGGTCCCTTAGATGCAGAAGAACTGACTAGCTCTAAACTGATCCTCAGCTTATTTCACCCTTTTCTTTTTTAAATATTTAGTTTAATTGATTAGTATTTAGTGTGTATATTCAACCTATCCCTGGAATGGGGGAGGGGGGATGAGAACAAAACCAAATGCCCCTAAAAATAAAGCAGAGCCATATCCTTGTCCTTTCTCCAAACCTGACCTTTAAAACAGATCACTTGTCTGTACATTTCTTTCCTGCCTCACTATAAATGTCCCTCTCCCAGAAGTCCTGGCTATGCCAGCTTCTTCCTAAACAATGGAATATAGTGCACCCACCAAGCTTCCCCACACTGGATAAGAACACAGAGGAGCAGCATTCTCCATCCTGCCCAACAATGAGTCCATCCACCACAAGGCACCTTTCCCCATGGAAAGCAGGAGACACAGACTGGCAGGACTTGCTAGAAATGGGATAGATGTAGGGCTTAAGACCCCACTGCCGACAGAAAGAGTCCAATCACCAAATCCAGAGACGAACTGCATAGATGGAAGTGAGCTGGGAGGATGCTTTGAGTCCAGGGTTGGTTGCACTGGAGAAACACAGTAGGAGCTCTCATGCAGGTTTAGGGGAATGGACAGGACCATCTGAGAAGAAGAGGAGGTCCATTCTTTTCCTGAGGAACAGGATCAAACCAGGCTTCACCTGAGAATGGGTGGCAGAGGTGGGGCTCCACGGGCAGCTGGAAAAACAAACAAACAAACACCCGAACACATATATACTGATTACATACTAGACCCTGAATAATACAAACATTCTTGAAGTGAGAGTTGAGCTCTTTAAGTAAACCTTTAAAATCTAGGGATTAGGTTTTTTGGTTGTTATAACTGTTTTCCAGTACTGGGGACTGAATCAAGGCATCATACTTGCCAGCTCCCAGCCTGTTTTGTTTTTTAAAGACAGCAGGCAGGAAAGGCCGTGAAACTATCTCTAATAAACCACCAGAAAACTGGAAGTGGTGCTGTAGCTGAATGCTCAGGGACAGTTCCCAGGCCCAGAGTTCAAGCCCCACAACCAAAAAAAAAAAAGACGAGGAGCAGAAGGTCATCACCACCCCCTCCCCCTTCCTGGGGCTTGAACTCAGTGCCCGGGCATTGTCCCTGAGCTTCTTTGTGCTCAAGTCTAGTGCTCTACCACTTGAGCCACAGTACCAATTCTGGCTTTTTCTGAATAGTTTATTGGAAATAAAGAGTCTCATACTTTCCTGCCAGGGCTGGCTTTGAAAACGATCCTCAGATCTCAGCCTTCTGAGTAGCTAGAATTGCAGGCATGAGCCACCAGCACTGGTTGAGAAGCATATTTAAAGCATAATTAAAAACCACAAGCCTGGAGCTGATGATTCTTGCCTGTAATACTAGCTACTCAGAAGGCTTAGCTCTGATGGAGGGAAGAAGAGAGGGAGACAACACAAAATTCAACATTCATGCAATAAAGGAAAAACTTTCCTTACTACCTTTCTCACCTCGGTTTGTTTTGCTGGGATATATTCTCTGAAAATGTTTATATTCTTCTGGAGCAGGAAAGTCTTCTACTGGATGGAAGGAATACTTTGACTCAAAATCATCTGTGAAAAGAACAGAATATTAACTGACATGGCCCCTCCTTGTGCTTCCATAGGACTCTGACTTCTTACCACCCATTCGGCTTAATAATCCCTCATGCAACCTGATGTATAGAAAGCGTGTTTCAGCCACCAAACCACAGGGTTTTGTTGTTGTTGTTGTTGGTCACAGGGCTTGAACTCTGGGCGTGGGTGCTGTCCCTCAGCTCTTCAGCTCAAGGCAAGTGTTCTACCACTTTAGCCACAGTGCCCCTTCCGGTTTTCTGGTGGATAATTGAAGGTAAGATTCTCACTGACTTTCCTGCCCGGGCTGACTTTGAACTGCGATCCTTAGATCTCAGCCTCCTGAGTAGCTAGGATTACAGGCATGAGCCACCAGCCTCTGGCAAAAATGATTTATTTTTTTCTTCTTTTTTGTTGGTCATGGGGGCTGAACTCTGTGCCTAGGTGCTGTCCCTAAGCTCTTCACCTTAAGGTTAGCACTCTACCACTTGAGCCTCAGTGCCACTTCAAGCTTTTTCTGCTGCTGTGGTCCTCAGGAATCAAACCCAGGGCCTCATGCATTCAATGAGAGCACTCTACCAGTGAGCCACCTTCCCAGCCCCTAAACCAAGGTTTCTTTCTTTTTGGGGGTGGGAGGAGTGCAGGTTCTGGGGCTTGAACTCAGGGCCTGGGCACTGTCCCTGAGCTTTTGTACTCAAAGGTAGCCCTTTACCACTTGAGCCACAACTCCACTTCAGGGTTTTTTTTTTTGGTGTTTAATTGGTGATAAGAGTCTTGGACTTTCCTGCCCAGGCAGGCTTTGTAGCATGATCCTTACATCTCAGCCACCTGAGTAGCTAGGGTTAGAGGTATGAGCCACTGGCACCCAGCTTTTTTTATTTTTGTCAGTCATGGGGCTTGAACTCTGGGCCTGGGCACTGTCCCTCAACTCTTCAGCTTAAGGTGAACACTCTACCACTAGAGCCACAGTGCCACTTCTGGTTTTCTGTTCATTACTGGAGATAAAAGTCTCATGGCCTTTCCTGCCTGGGCTGTCTTTGAACCTCAATCCTCAGATCTCAGCCTCCTGAGTAGCTAGGGTTACAGGCGTGAGCCACTGGTGCCGGGCTTTGTTTAGTTTTTAAAGAGCCGGAAAGTAGCTCTCCTTCCTACGATATGTAATTCTAGGATATGTCTGACTAATCTGAAGAGGATACCATCTCTGACATAAAAACTAGCCAGCAACAAAGATCCTTGGAAGGCTTGAAAATATCTTTAAAGTTAGCATGATACCTGCTAACTTTACTTTAATCTATTACAAAGCAATCAGCCCTACAATCTATGCAAGGAAAGATGTCAACGGATGGTGTGTAGAGGTCTGAGGATGGAAGTCAGGTAAAGAAATGCCTCGAGAAAACTATGGTGTGGCCATTCCCACCCAATAGTTACCTGGCAGCCAAGGCAGTGAATGAGAGAAGTTACACAGGAACTATGGGACAAAAGAGCAGTGACTTACCCAAGAAAGACCGGACAGTAGTGATGGAATCTCTGTGGCCATTCCTCAGAGGTGGTGGAGGAGGAGGGGGTGGCCCAGCTGGTGTCCTTGAGGGTGGCGGTGGGGGCTTTCCTCTGTTCGGGGGTTCTGATCCATGCATTCGGTATGGTGGGGGTGGAGGGGGAGCATCCCGGGCACCATTTCGGATCATGGGTGGTGGGGGTGGAGGAGCTGCAATTAAAATTCAAAATAATTAGGCTTGGGTGAAGCTGGTAAGGGAAGAGGGACAAAGAGAAAAGACACAAGGTTTGTCCAATAAGCTTCCAAGTTCTTTGTCCGATTCAATTTTAAGACTGTTTCAAGTAACAGGGCCAGGAAAAAAAAAAAAAAAAGAGTCCTAAAAAAAGTCAGTTTGAAAAAAAAAATTAGGTAGTAGTTCCTCATTTGGAATCCAAGATGATCTTTTTTGTTTGTTGGTTGGTTATGGGCTTGAACTCGGGATCTGGGCTTCATCCTTGAACTATATGGCTCAAAGCCAGCGCTCTACCACTTTGCCACAGCAACACTTCCAGTTTCTAGTGGTTAATTAGAGATAAGAGTCTCAAGGACTGGCTTTGAACCGTGATCCTCAGATCTCAGCCTCCTGAGTGGGTAGGATTACAGGTGTAAGTCACCAGCACCCTGCATTTTTTTTTTTTTTTTTTGCAGATAAGGTCTTGCTAGGTAGTCCAGGCTGGCCTCAAATTCATGATCCTCTTGCCTCAACCTTCTTCTTTTTGTTTTTTTGTCGGTTGTGGGGCTTGAACTCTGGGCTTGGGCACTGTCCCTCAGCTCTTCAGCTCAAGGTGAGTGCTCTATCGCTTGAGCCACAGTGCCACTTCTGGTTTTCTAGTGGTTTATTGGAGATAAGAGTCTCAAGGACTTTCCTTGTCTGGGCTAGCTTTGAACCGTGATTCTCAGATCTCAGCCTCCTGAGTAGCTAGGATTACAGGTGTGAGCCACCAGTGCCCGGCTTCTTGTCTCAACCTTCTGAGTAGTAGAATTATATTTATACAACTCCCAGCTAATAACACCAATTTTTTTTTTTTGGTTGGTTGTGGGGCTTGAACTCTGGGCCTGGGCAGAGTTCAACTCTTCAGCTCAAGGAGAGCATTCTAGCACTTGAGCCACAGCACCACTTCCAGTTTTCTGGTGTTTAATTGAAGATAAGAGTCTCACTGACTTTCCTGCCCAGGCCGGCTTAGAACCACAATCCTCAGATCTCAGCCTCCTGAGTAGCTATGATTACAGGCATGAGCCACCAGCACCCGACCAATAACACCAATTTTAAGGGGAAAAAATGATAGAAATTCTTAATTATTTTTTTTATCATTTTACCATTATTATTAAATTTTTTTTGGTCGGTCCTGGGGCTTGAACTCTAGGCCTGAACGCTGTCCCTCAACTCTACCACTTGAGCCACAGAGCCAATTCCAGTTTTCTGAGTGGTTTATTGGAGGTAAAAGTCTTACAGAATTTTCTGTCTGGGTTGGCTTTGAACGAGATCCTCAGATCTCAGCCTCCTGAGTAGCTAGGATTATAAGTGTGAACCACTGACACCTGGCACTATTTTATTTTTTGCCATGCTTAAACTCAGGGCCTTCTCAGCTTGCTTGTTCATGATGGAGAATTTATCACTTCAACCACAGCTGCTGTTTATTTTCGTGAAGTCTTGGAAAGTTTTTTTCTGTCCAGGTTGATTCTGAACTGTGATCTTCCATATCTTAGCCTCTTGAATAGACAAAATTATAGGTTTGAGCCACTGTCACCTGGCTGTTTCTCTACCTTTTAAATTATCCTTCAAAAGGACAGTATTTGGGACTGGAAGTATGGCTGCCTAGCAAACATAATGTTCTGAGTTTAAAAATAAATTGTAAAGGCAGTATTTTACTCTGCAGAAGGCAAATGTAGGGATAAACTATGGATGAAGATCAAATTTCTGGTTTGCTTTAAAGTCCAAAAGACTCTATAACCTCTCAAATGTAAATTCTTTACATAGAAACAAAAATTAAGCTGGCACCTCTGACTTACGTCTGTAATCCTAACAACTCAAGAGCCTGAGATCTAAGGATCACAGCTCCGAGGCAGAAAATTCCATCAGACTCTTATCTCCAATAAGCCAACAAAAGGCTAGGAATTGAGCTGTGGCTGGTAGAGAGAGCCAGCTATGGGTGAAAAAGCTAAGGGACAGCACTCAGGCCCTGAATTCAAGCCCAACTACTGGTACAAACAAACGAACCCCCAAAAATGGTTAAAAAAAAAAGGAAACAAAAAGTACACCATCACATTAATAGTGCTCTGATGTGATTTAACAGAAGTCCAAGAACTACTTAGAAGCCTTTTACACAAAACCAGTAGTATACTTTTTAGTTTACAGATGAGGCAACAACTCAGATAGTCAGTGCAATTTGCTCAACATCATGCAACAAATATAGCCAATCCTCAAAAGAACTTGGACTAAAAGATCTCTGGTCACTTACACAAGAAGCAAGCTGAGACCTCCTGCAGATCTCAACATTAGTGGTGGCTAAGGGACAGAAAAGAATAGCCCTTAACTTCAAATTCATCCAAAGAAACCAGAGGGAAGAAAAATGTGTATAGTCTACAGATGTTTAAACCTCCTCAGCTTAACCCACACACATTTTTCTCTGCTTCTATTACTGGGTGGGGTTAGAAAGTCATGGGCTTTGCTCACATGAAGAACTCTATTTTCTTTCTTTCTTTCTTTCTCTTTCCTTCTTTCTCTTCTTCCCTCTTCCCTCTCTCCCTCTCTCCTCTCTTGCTCTTTCTCTCTCTTTCCCTCCCTCCCTCTCTCCCCTAGTCCTGGGGCTTGAACTTAGGGCCTGGGCACCATCCCTGAACTTTTTTTGCTCAAGACTAAGTACTCCACCACTTTGAGTCATAGCTCCACTTGCAGCTTTTTGTGGGGTAAATTGGAGATAAGAGTTTCCCAGATCTTTAGATCTCAGCCTTTTGAGTAGCCAGGATAAGAGGAAAGAGCCACAGGCACCCAGGGAATAATGGGCTTATAATACATGTTTGTTTGTTTGGGTCCAGCCGTGGGGCCTGAACTCTGGGCCTGGGCACTGTCCCTTAGCTCTTCAGCTCAAGGCTAACGCTCTACCACTTGAGCCACAGTGCCACTTCTGGCTTTTTTTCTTTTTGCTTATATAGTTCTGAAGAATCAAACCCAGGGCCTCATGCATGCAAGGCAAGCGCTCTGCCACTGAGCCACCTTCCCAGCCCCTAATACATGCTTTTTAATGACATAACACTTTATTGTCTTGCCCAGGCAGGTCCCAAATTTCTAGGCTCAATCAATTCTTAGCCTTCTCAGTAACTTAGACTACATGTGCACCAACAGGCCCAATGACCTAACTTCTTAATCACTGTTCTAGATCTATAGAGACTGACTACAAAATAAAAGTTCAGGGGCTGGGAAGGTGGCTCAGTGTTAGAGCGCTTGCCTTGCATGCATGAGGCCCTGGGTTCGATTCCTCAGCACCACATAAGCAGAAAAAAAAAGCTGGAAGTGGCATTGTGGCTCAAGTGGTAGAGTGCTAGCCTTGAGCTGAAGAGCTGAGGGACAGCGCCCAGGCCCAGAGTTCAGGCCCACAACTGGACCCAAAAAAATAAAAATAAATAAATAAATAAATAAAAGCTCAGAAGTCACTTGTAGAAGGTATGGCTCAAAGTACATTAACAAGGATATGGGAGCCAAAATTCCTAGGTCCAATCAGGGAGTTGTCTGGTCACTCTTCCTTAAAGAGATCACAGAATCTCTCCAACTCTTTCTGTGGTTCCTTAATTCTCTCCTCTTCCAATTTAAGCACTAATGGTCTATTATTAAAATCAACCCATCAAGCAGAGCGCTTGTGGCTCACACCTGTAATCCTAGCTACTCAGGAGGCTGAGATCTGAGGATCACGGTTCAAAGCCAGCCCGGGCAGGAGAGACCATGAGACTCCTATCTCCAATAAACCACCAGAAAACCGGAAGTGGCGCTGTAGCTCAAGTGGTAGAG